TCTCTTCTCTCTCTCTCTCTCTCTCTCTCTCTCTCTCTCTCTCTCTCTCTCTCTCTCTCTCTCTCTCTCTCTCTCTCTCTCTCTCTCTCTGATTTGATACACAGAAATCTCGAGAGCGGAAATATCGAATCGTTGCACACCGTTGCACGTTTACGACGTTAAGCATATCTGACGTTATCACATGTTCATCATTAGTATGTCTATGTCGATGTTTCACGCACGTCCAATCCGTTAGTTCTTCGGCATCGATAGCGCTCTGCAGAAGGAATTGCTGCGTGGACTAAAGCGACAACAAGAAATACCATCGATGATGCAGAGACAGCAGATCAGCAACGGGTTCGGCGGCATCGTTACCGTCACCAGCGGTGATGGCGACGGTATTAATAACGCCGGTAATAATGCCGCCGGCATCAGTAACGGGAGTACCGGTAGTGGCAGAAGCGTCGGCGTCGGCGTCGGGAGCGGCGTCAGCAGGAGCAGCGTGTCATCTATCTACTATCAGAACACGAATACGATGCAAACGGCGCCCGGGTGGGCCTTCCAACTCCTGCCCAGTCTCTACAATCACTATCAGAAGGTTCTCCACCGAATCCATCGAATCCTGTCCGAGTAGCAGCAACAAATTGGCATACCTTGATTTTTTTTTACTCATCTTCTACCTCACATCACTCATCTTTTTCTTTCTCCTCTTTCGCTTCACCTCCTGCCATGTTAGGAAAACACAAGTAGTCACCCGTCTTTTCCTCGGTAGATTCTGTACCCCGCCAAGTATTGCACGGCTCTTCGCTTCCATCGGCTCGCATCGATCCAGCCAGCAAAGGATGCATTGTGTGGCGATTGAATGGCAATTTCGGCTTCTTGACGTTGAATTAGAGAGCCGGGAAATGGCATTTTTTGTAATGTAGAGAGAAAGTAGCGAGATAACCGAACATTTTACCATTTAAACATTTGGCATCAATTCAACGTTTAAAATTAGCACATTCTCGTCACGCCATACGCAATAGGTGGACGAATTTTCATTTCCTCCAGGCATAGTAGTGCACGCTCCGAACATCTTCATTACCGTCATACGCACGATACAAAGTCATAATACAATCGGCCCGTCGTTACAATAAGCGTACGTAATATTAGTATGTTTATACGATTCAAGTTATCAGCTGTGACTTTGACAAAAAGCAATGGCAATTCTGGAGCCTCGAATCCGATGTAATATAATAAGGGATACTTGTGACTGAAATTCTGACTTTGTCTCAATCGTTCGCTTTAGTTGTAGACATGTAGTCTGTATCAGTTCCCCCAATAGATTTTCATATGATACGAAAGATACGAAGAGAGTCAAATTTTTTACATCGGCGCTTGATAACGACGATCCTCGTTGTGTTGAAACAGGCGGAAGTTACTCCGTGGATATCCAGCAAGCACAACATGGGCATGGCATTCAATCGCATCACGTGGAACAAGCTACGAAAGTGTGCGGCGCAGTTTTGCTCGTACGACGATTACAATTGGGACTGGAGTCTGCAATATATCGCGCAAACCTGTGTGCCATCTAGTCGGGGTGCTGGGATTGCACCTCGCGTTGAATCCGGATTGATCACGATGACGATGAGGGCTCCGAGAGTCTTCCATATCGGAGAATGGCGAGTATCGGACGTATTAATGAGTATTAATGAGAACTTGATCATTTTTAGCCTTTCTATCTATCTTCCATTTATCTCTCTTTTTTATTGTCATTGAACATTATCCGCGAGTGCTAATACGGTGTTAAGATTACATTATCCTTATATTTGGGTATTTACTTTTATAGTGGAGTGCATCATAAGAAGAATAACTGTGAATCGACGGCAGTGATAGCAAAGGTCCAGAACGTCTTGAAAGCGGCGCGCAATCATCTGTTCCCTTCGCAATTAACATTAACAATCGCCGGAACAGCAAAGAAGACGAAACTCCGCAAAGGCAACGGCGGATGGGGAGACGTTCGAGATCACCAACTTTGTTGGAACATGACCATATATCCAGATTTAGTCTTGCTTTGAGGACTATAAATGTTAATTATAATTGGTTCCAGTACACGGATTGTGATACAAATAGTCAGGCATCTATTGCCGCAATTCTATTATGGTAATCAAAGATTTATCCGTCGATATCATTCTAATGAGATGTTCAAGAATGATGTAAGTAGAATGATGCAAAGATGACTGGATACTAGAGAATTTCCGTCATTCTACAAATCGATTACGAAGTGCGTTGTACGCGTTATCGTCGCTGCCAGTCACGATCGAAGATTATCAAGACCGCTGTCACTGCCATTGAATGGAATGGGATTTCTTTCGCAAAATAGGAATATTCGTAAGCGTTTCGTCGAGATAGGATGTAATATTACACATACAGCGGACGAAACGAAAAAAGATATCGGCCGATTTGATAGTGAGCTCAAATTGGTGCTATTCCAAAGAGAAGGTAATTTTTTTGTGGTATATTGAGTTTAATACAGTGAAGACCAAAAGCTGTGCAAGTGAATTAGCGAAAAATATATTTCGCGCATATGCAAAAGAAAGATATTCGATTAAAGCATGTTAAAAGAGTATTTACGAAGAGGTTACAAGCAGATCTATTTATTCAACATTGCGCTGTCCACAAATACAGTGTGATAAAAATGTAAGACGTCACGTTTCTTCAATTTTGTTTCGGAACAAGCGTGACGCATACTCAAGGGAAGGGAGAATATTCTCGAGGATGTGCGGAAGTACGAGATAAATATTTCATTAGGCTCAAATATATATTATCGATATTTTAAAGGCCTATAAGACAGCCGAAACGCGGCAACATGTACGTATATAATTTCCATGTCACCGTAGAGACGACATATAAATGAAAAAAGGCTGCACCCTGTACCTCTGTAACTTGATAATGGAATTAATGTTTCGCTTCCCGACTTAGCTTCTATCCACTCTTTTTAATATTATGCTCGACAAGAACGTTAATCAGGTTTGTGATTTTAATTACGACTTGCGCTCATTATATTCTAGTCAATGTGTATAACGTAATACTAAAGTGCAGATATTTAATAATCATAGAGATTAAGCTCGTAAAATTAAGGATTCACACACGTATTATTAGTGATAACGCCCTCAAAAACGCTGTAACGTAACATCATGTAACGACCTCGGGGATACGAACGTAATGAATGTCTCATGTACCTTTTATATTTATAACAATAAAACGACAGCAACGAAAGTAAATAGAATCCGCGTTCGCGGTTTTTATCTATCTACTGATAAATGCATGGCTGTATTTATCAAAGAGAAATTTCATAAAAATTAAATTAAAACAGGCTAATTATTATTAGCCCGTTATAATTTTATCATAATTTTTTCGTAAATTAAATAATGGCATAAATTTGCGGTATTTTCTATATAATTTTAGTAGAATATATATATGAGTAATAGTTTATATTATGGAGTATTAAAACTATATATAAAATTTATGTTCATTAGATTATCTAACACAAGATTTTAATGCCCATTAATTAAAGATTTAAATGCTTGTGATAAGCAGGCACATTGTCATCATATTCTGTTACCATAAAGTTACCAGCAATCGGACCTTCCAAATTGTATTTTTCCGCAAACTTCTTTATGGAGAACCTCTTACGTTGGCTTCCATCCCTGTAAGGTGAGGTAAAATTATTAATATTATTATCTGGGGCTGTAAGCATCTGCACTGTCAACTATAACATCTTTGCTCACCAAGTACTCAATCTTCTTTCGTCAAAAGTAATTGCACCTTGATTTTGCTTATAAACAAGAAATACATAGCGATGTTTGCCAGTGTTTTTCGGTGGTGCAGGACCGACATATTCCGCCAGAATTTCGCCTTTAGCTACGTTCTCTTCTGGTATATTTCCAACGAGCCAATGTCGAAACTCTCGATTGTATCCTCCTCTCCTTGGTACATCAGGATCTATATCAAAATGTGTCTCTTTGTTAAAATTTATAAAAAATGCATGTATTCAAATAATTACAAAATAATTAGAATCAGTTAAATCCAACAAGATTTTTAAACGTTTGCGTATTAGATAAGATTTACATAAGTCAGCTTGGCAATTAGCATGCCAATGAATCCGCGTGTCATCAAGTAATGGCGATAGAGAAAACTGGTTTCCGACATGGTGAAAGTTGAACTCATCGAGAATAACGCGTCTTTATGCATATTTGACAACTGATTTGCAACTTGATTTGCCTTTACGGAATTTTTGCAACAAGAAAACAAGGCAATCTTGCTTGAATTGCTTTTGATTTCTCGCTATGGAGTCTATTCTTGCAAACATATCTGAAGATTTTTCTATCCAGTTGAATAAATAATTCAAGTTTTACCCGTTAAAACAAGCGTGTATAGAACTCCGCCTTCGTGCTTGTAGTGAATTTCTGGTATTTCATGGGTTTCAGTCGGCGTCAGCTCGGTTCCCAGATCGACTACTTTCTTACCATATTTTACCTATATAATACAAAGTCATTTATAAATAGCTGTGATGCATATTATATGTAATAAAAAGACGATTAGTTTATTTATAATGATAATGAGTTCACACTACATTTATAAGCACAAAAACCAAGAAAGTCTAGTAAAATAAACATTATTTTGCTTTAGATATGAGAAATGTTATTTAGAAATTGAAAATATTTTAGCTACAAAAAATTTTTTTAAATTTATTGGTTATTTAAAACACGCAAAATTTGTTCACATATAGTCAGTTATTTTTCTTTATGATCTTAAAATAAATTTTTATTCTTAATCGATTAATTTTGAATGCACAAAAACTTTAGATTTGTATCGATTATGTAAATTAATTTCCCAGTTGAATTCTTATATTTTGCGAATTCTCGGCAAATACATACTTCAATCTTTTCGATTGGTGCTTTGTCTATGATATCAGGCTCAATTTTCGCCTTCTTAAATTCAGATTCCACATCCCCTAATGAGAAACCGACAGCACAGAGAAAAACTCCTAAAGATATACATATATACATATATAATCATATATAATCATCATAAAAAACAAATTGTTAATAAAAAAAATAAATCACTAAATAATCACTGAAATGTCAAAATAATTCTAATAGGCACATTGTGAATTTCTTTATGAAATTAATGTAAGATCGGGATTAACAAACCTGATATCAGATACTGCATTTTTGATAACACTATTTTCATCAAGCCGCAACAGCAGTATTATGAAGACTGGTAAGAGCTGAAACGTTGTTGCTAAATGTATCCCCACCAGAAAGCTAGAAGGCCAGATCTTGCCAGCCTTTCCAATATCATGTATTTATTGCTAACGCAATAACGATATAACGAAGAACATGTATCTATCGTAAAGATTTTTCCTCAGAAATTTATTACATTGTACATTATGAGTGAGCGAATGAATGTGTGTGAGCGCGCGCACGCAAGAGAGAGATTAATGTAATATGCATGAAGATATGTACATACGTCATCAATTTGACAAATAGAGAAAAAAATTGAATAGAATTGAAAATAGAGAAAAGAATTGAAAGATTAAAAGTTATTTTTATGATATAAAATTTATATAATACTTTTGACATTAGTATACACACTTTCAATCACTATCAGATTATTTTTTTTGTCTTTCGCTTATTTTCATATTTTAATTTCGAATGAACTTACATTCGCGATACATACGCGAAGCATATACAAGATTACTTTTAGAAAATTCAAATTAGTAGTACCAGGAAAATAATAGATTAATTTTTTCCTTTAAATTGTAATAAAAATTAATATATCACATTGTAAAAGATTTAAGACAGATTTATATTTATTTCTACTGTATAAAATAGATTAATTTATTTTTTGAACTAAATTTTCAGAACTAAAAAAAAGAGAAAGTAAATGAAATCAAGATTGAAGTTAAACTACATTGATAAAAGTAGATAATAACTCTAAATTTACAAATTTGATTTGTATTTGATTAAGATAAAGGACTTATTTAGTAGTTTCCTAACTGCAACAGATACAAGCGTCGATATATTGAAAAATGTTCAGTGTATTTATTCAACCAAGTTGACTATACATTATTCTGTATAAACATGTCATCATTAATATATGCATTACATTTAAACTTAACCCTCAAGTTGCTTATAGAGAATCGGCACATAATCATCAAATTCTGCCTGATACATATTACCGGCAATCGGATCGCCGAGATTATATTTGGTGGCAAATTTCTTGATGGAGAACTTGCCACGATTGTCACCACTTCGGTTAGTCAAACGCTTCTCGTCGAAGGTGAGCTTGCCAGGCTGTTTGTATAATAGGAATACGTATCGATGGAGGCCTGTACCTTGTGGGGGTCCAGAACCAATGTATTGAGACAAAACTTCTCCTTTAGACACATCTGATCCAGGAATATTACCCACTAGCCAGTGATGCCATTCGCGGAATTTGGGATTCTGTCTGCTTGGTGCATCAGGATCTTTAAATAACAACAAAGGCTCTTTATATGACATAATTCGAGACGTAATACTTGATTGAATCACAGACTTATAATCAAGAAACTCACAACACTAAAACAATAACAATATTTTATATTTGTATTAGTGTGTCACTTCTTAAATTTCTATTTCTTTTAGGATAAATCATAAACTTAATATCGAAAAACAAACGTAAACTAAGCTCAGTAAACTAAGAGCTATTTTAAACAGAATTTTGAATGTGTGCTAATATTATTTCTGTTAAAATGAATTTTTTTGCTTGTAATTCTTTTAAAATAAGATTATAGACTTATTATTTCAGGAAACTTACAGTGACACAGAATCATAATAAAGTAAAAAATATTTCAAAATATCAGAACAATTTTTTTTACTTATAATTCTTTTGAAATAATTCCAAATATTTTTAATATTCAGTTTTTAATTTGATTAAATGCATTTTATATATATATAGATAATTCTAGTACAGTATCGCAGTTCAAGAATTATATAATTATAGCATTAAAGCAAATTTTAATCCGCAAATTTTAATCCGTAAGATTAAACTGCACTCTCGTTCTGAAAACTTTAAATAAAACATGTCTGATGCTACTGACCAGTCATACACAAGGTATAAAATGCATTCGCTTCTCCAGTCCACTGAACAGTAGGCTGATTCTTGACTTGAGTCGGAGTCAGCACTTTGCCAATTTCAACAGCAAGATTATTGGGATAGGTCACTTTCAAGACATTAGCAGGCACCTTGTCCACCACATCTGGAATAACTCTGTGAGTCTTCAGAGCTTGAGCCATAGATGATAATAGACGTGTTCCCACTACTGATGTAATTCCTATGAGCAACAACATCAAATTCGTTAGCTATCAGCTATCATCAAAGATACAAGGAAATCATCGATGACAAGGCAAGAAATCGACAATGCGATACCATACTCGTACCATTTCGATGCTGATCAATTTTAATCACAATTTATTAATGAAGTTTAATTTTATCTTAATTTCAATTTATTCTTTTTCTGATATACATCCATTTCTATTGCAGTAGATTGATTTTTCGATTTGTAATCGAATTTTCTAAATTCTAAGTTCTAAAATTAAAAACTAGCCTAAACTGAGATCAAAATTCATTTATTCATAAAATTCATAAAAAAATAGACATCGGAATAAAAGTTAAAAGGCAAGTTAAATCAAAATAAAAGTTAATCTGCATCAGTGGAAATGAAATGGTACATTAGCAGAATGGACCAGGCATGTGTCAACTTCTAAACGATCGAAACAATGATCCATTCCGCTGCCAACTGCGTCTTCATCGGAATCAAATAGAATTTGGACGCGCGAGCAATCTTTTTCTATTTAATACCCGAACAAAGAATCACGACGAGCAGCACATTTTCGTGACGCGACATTATCATTATTGCTGTTGCGATGTGAGGACGAGTACACGACGGAAACTCGACGATTCTCGCGAGCAACGGGAAATCTCGTGGCCCTCGATTTTTCTATTCCATATAAAGTCGTAATTCTATTGCGCACGTAACAAATGTCGTAATCATCAGCTAGTAATGATTTCATCGCAGGAAATTCGTTAATTACTCGAGGCAAGAAGGCACACAGACATAACTGACACGCACGTTCGCCGGTGCATGGACGAATAGACGAACCGGTGGAATTTGGAACTTACTGGAATCGCACTTATCCCTTTCGTCGTTCACCGACGTGTTCGTTGATAGCGATTTATGTAACAGCCCGTTATCGGCCGGTAATCTTCGGCGAGACTCTAATAGGAGATGCACGATGCATGCGCAGTCTAATGTCTAATATCAATTCTCCACAGGTATAAACAACGGTGAAAAAGAAAAACGAAAATCGATAACGTCGGATGAACTGATCGCGATAAACAGTGGAATATCGATGGAATAGGGAGACTCTTCA